ACTAAGAGCTGCTACACTAAGAGCTGTTACACTGAGAGCTGTTACACTAAGAGATGTTACACTAATAGCTGCTACACTAAGAGCTGCTACACTAAGAGATGTTACACTAAGAGATGTTACACTAAGAGATGCTACACTAAGAGATGCAACACTAAGAGCTGCTACACTAAGAGCTGCTACACTAAGAGATGCTACACTAAGAGATGTTACACTAAGAGCTGCTACACTAAGAGCTGCTACACTAAGAGATGTTACACTAAGAGCTGCTACACTAAGAGATGTTACACTAAGAGATGCTACACTAAGAGATGTTACACTAAGAGCTGCTACACTAAGAGCTGTTACACTAAGAGCTGTTACACTAAGAGCTGCTACACTAAGAGATGTTACACTAAGAGCTGCTACACTAAGAGCTGTTACACTAAGAGCTGTTACACTAAGAGCTGCTACACTAAGAGCTGCTACACTAAGAGCTGTTACACTAAGAGCTGTTACACTAAGAGCTGCTACACTAAGAGATGTTACACTAAGAGCTGCTACACTAAGAGCTGTTACACTAAGAGATGTTACACTAAGAGATGCTACACTAAGAGATGTTACACTAAGAGCTGCAACACTAAGAGCTGCTACACTAAGATATGTTACACTAAGAGCTGCTACACTAAGAGATGCTACACTAAGAGATGTTACACTAAGAGCTGCTACACTAAGAGCTGTTACACTGAGAGCTGTTACACTAAGAGATGTTACACTAAGAGCTGCTACACTAAGAGCTGCTACACTAAGAGATGTTACACTAAGAGATGTTACACTAAGAGATGCTACACTAAGAGATGCAACACTAAGAGCTGCTACACTAAGAGCTGCTACACTAAGAGCTGCTACACTAAGAGCTGCTACACTAAGAGATGCTACACTAAGAGCTGCTACACTAAGAGATGTTACACTAAGAGATGTTACACTAAGAGATGCTACACTAAGAGATGTTACACTAAGAGCTGCTACACTAAGAGCTGCAACACTAAGAGATGTTACACTAAGAGATGTTACACTAAGAGATGTTACACTAAGAGCTGCAACACTAAGATATGTTACACTAAGAGATGTTACACTAAGAGCTGCTACACTAAGAGCTGCTACACTAAGAGCTGCTACACTAAGAGATGCTACACTAAGAGCTGCTACACTAAGAGATGTTACACTAAGAGCTGCTACACTAAGAGATGTTACACTAAGAGATGTTACACTAAGAGCTGTTACACTAAGAGCTGCTACACTAAGATATGCCACTAAGAGCTGCTACACTAAGATGTTACACTAAGAGCTGCAACACTAAGAGATGTTACACTAAGATATGTTACACTAAGAGCTGCAACACTAAGAGATGTTAAACTAAGAGATGTTACACTAAGAGATGTTACAGTAAGAGATGTTACACTAAGAGCTGTTACACTAAGAGATGTTACAGTAAGAGCTGTTACACTAAGATATGCTACACTAAGAGATGTTACACTAAGATATGCTACACTAAGAGCTGCAACACTAAGAGATGTTACACTAAGAGATGTTACACTAAGAGCTGTTACACTAAGAGCTGCAACACTAAGATATGTTACACTAAGAGATGCTACACTAAGAGCTGCAACACTAAGAGATGTTACACTAAGAGCTGCTACACTAAGAGATGTTACACTAACAGCTGCAACACTAAGAGATGCTACACTAAGAGATGCTACACTAAGAGATGCTACACTAAGAGATGTTACACTAAGAGCTGTTACACTAAGAGCTGTTACACTAACAGCTGCAACACTAAGAGATGCTACACTAAGAGATGCTACACTAAGAGATGCTACACTAAGAGCTGCTACACTAAGAGATGCTACACTAAGAGCTGCAACACTAAGAGCTGCTACACTAAGATGTTACACTAAGAGCTGCAACACTAAGAGATGTTACACTAAGAGCTGTTACACTAACAGCTGCAACACTAAGAGATGCTACACTAAGAGATGCTACACTAAGAGATGTTACACTAAGAGCTGTTACACTAAGAGCTGTTACACTAACAGCTGCAACACTAAGAGATGCTACACTAAGAGATGCTACACTAAGAGATGCTACACTAAGAGCTGCAACACTAAGAGCTGCTACACTAAGATGTTACACTAAGAGCTGCAACACTAAGAGATGTTACACTAAGAGATGTTACACTAAGATATGTTACACTAAGAGCTGCAACACTAAGAGATGTTAAACTAAGAGATGTTACACTAAGAGATGTTACACTAAGAGATATTACACTAAGAGCTGTTACACTAAGAGATGTTACACTAAGAGCTGTTACACTAAGATATGCTACACTAAGAGATGTTACACTAAGATATGCTACACTGAGAGCTGCAACACTAAGAGATGTTACACTAAGAGATGTTACACTAAGAGCTGTTACACTAAGAGCTGCAACACTAAGATATGTTACACTAAGATATGCTACACTAAGAGCTGCAACACTAAGAGATGTTACACTAAGAGCTGCTACACTAAGAGATGTTACACTAAGAGCTGCAACACTAAGAGATGTTACACTAAGAGATGCTACACTAAGACCTGCAACACTAAGAGATGTTACACTAAGAGCTGCAACACAAAGAGATGTTACACTAAGAGATGATACACTAAGAGATGTTACACTAAGAGCTGCAACACTAAGAGATGTTAAACTAAGAGATGTTACACTAAGAGATGTTACACTAAGAGATATTACACTAAGAGCTGTTACACTAAGAGATGTTACACTAAGAGCTGCTACACTAAGAGCTGTTACACTAAGAGATGTTACACTAAAAGCTGCAACACTAAGAGCTGTTACACTAAGAGCTGCTACACTAAGAGATGCTACACTAAGAGATGTTACACTAAGAGCTGTTACACTAAGAGCTGCTACACTAAGAGATGTTACACTAAGAGCTGCTACACTAAGAGCTGTTACACTAAGAGCTGCTACACTAAGAGATGTTACACTAAGAGCTGTTACACTAAGAGCTGTTACACTAAGAGCTGTTACACTAAGAGCTGCTACACTAAGAGATGTTACACTAAGAGATGTTACACTAAGAGATGTTACACTAAGAGATGCTACACTAAGAGATGTTACACTAAGAGCTGCAACACTAAGAGCTGCTACACTAAGAGATGTTACACTAAGAGCTGCTACACTAAGAGATGCTACACTAAGAGATGTTACACTAAGAGCTGCTACACTAAGAGATGTTACACTAAGAGATGTTACACTAAGAGCTATTACACTAAGAGATGTTACACTAAGAGCTGCTACACTAAGAGCTGCTACACTAAGAGATGTTACACTAAGAGATGTTACACTAAGAGATGCTACACTAAGAGATGCAACACTAAGAGCTGCTACATTAAGAGCTGCTACACTAAGAGATGCTACACTAAGAGCTGCTACACTAAGAGATGCTACACTAAGAGATGCTACACTAAGAGCTGCTACACTAAGAGATGTTACACTAAGAGATGTTACACTAAGAGATGCTACACTAAGAGATGTTACACTAAGAGCTGCTACACTAAGAGCTGCAACACTACGAGATGTTACACTAAGAGATGTTACACTAAGAGATGTTACACTAAGAGCTGCAACACTAAGAGATGTTACACTAAGAGATGTTACACTAAGAGATGTTACACTAAGAGCTGCTACACTAAGAGCTGCTACACTAAGAGCTGCTACACTAAGAGCTGCTACACTAAGAGATGCTACACTAAGAGCTGCTACACTAAGAGATGTTACACTAAGAGCTGCTACACTAAGAGATGTTACACTAAGAGATGTTACACTAAGAGCTGTTACACTAAGAGCTGCTACACTAAGATATGCCACTAAGAGCTGCTACACTAAGATGTTACACTAAGAGCTGCAACACTAAGAGATGTTACACTAAGAGATGTTACACTAACAGCTGCAACACTAAGATATGCTACACTAAGAGATGCTACACTAAGAGATGCTACACTAAGAGATGTTACACTAAGAGCTGTTACACTAAGAGCTGTTACACTAACAGCTGCAACACTAAGAGATGCTACACTAAGAGATGCTACACTAAGAGATGCTACACTAAGAGCTGCTACACTAAGAGATGCTACACTAAGAGCTGCAACACTAAGAGCTGCTACACTAAGATGTTACACTAAGAGCTGCAACACTAAGAGATGTTACACTAAGAGCTGTTACACTAAGAGATGCTACACTAAGAGATGTTACACTAAGAGATGTTACACTAAGAGCTATTACACTAAGAGATGTTACACTAAGAGCTGCTACACTAAGAGCTGCTACACTAAGAGATGTTACACTAAGAGATGTTACACTAAGAGATGCTACACTAAGAGATGCAACACTAAGAGCTGCTACACTAAGAGATGCTACACTAAGAGCTGCTACACTAAGAGATGCTACACTAAGAGCTGCTACACTAAGAGATGTTACACTAAGAGATGTTACACTAAGAGATGCTACACTAAGAGATGTTACACCAAGAGCTGCTACACTAAGAGCTGCAACACTACGAGATGTTACACTAAGAGATGTTACACTAAGAGATGTTACACTAAGAGCTGCAACACTAAGAGATGTTACACTAAGAGATGTTACACTAAGAGCTGCTACACTAAGAGCTGCTACACTAAGAGCTGCTACACTAAGAGCTGCTACACTAAGAGATGCTACACTAAGAGCTGCTACACTAAGAGATGTTACACTAAGAGCTGCTACACTAAGAGATGTTACACTAAGAGATGTTACACTAAGAGCTGTTACACTAAGAGCTGCTACACTAAGATATGCCACTAAGAGCTGCTACACTAAGATGTTACACTAAGAGCTGCAACACTAAGAGATGTTACACTAAGATATGTTACACTAAGAGCTGCAACACTAAGAGATGTTAAACTAAGAGATGTTACACTAAGAGATGTTACAGTAAGAGATGTTACACTAAGAGCTGTTACACTAAGAGATGTTACAGTAAGAGCTGTTACACTAAGATATGCTACACTAAGAGATGTTACACTAAGATATGCTACACTAAGAGCTGCAACACTAAGAGATGTTACACTAAGAGATGTTACACTAAGAGCTGTTACACTAAGAGCTGCAACACTAAGATATGTTACACTAAGAGATGCTACACTAAGAGCTGCAACACTAAGAGATGTTACACTAAGAGCTGCTACACTAAGAGATGTTACACTAACAGCTGCAACACTAAGAGATGCTACACTAAGAGATGCTACACTAAGAGATGCTACACTAAGAGATGTTACACTAAGAGCTGTTACACTAAGAGCTGTTACACTAACAGCTGCAACACTAAGAGATGCTACACTAAGAGATGCTACACTAAGAGATGCTACACTAAGAGATGCTACACTAAGAGCTGCAACACTAAGAGCTGCTACACTAAGATGTTACACTAAGAGCTGCAACACTAAGAGATGTTACACTAAGAGCTGTTACACTAACAGCTGCAACACTAAGAGATGCTACACTAAGAGATGCTACACTAAGAGATGTTACACTAAGAGCTGTTACACTAAGAGCTGTTACACTAACAGCTGCAACACTAAGAGATGCTACACTAAGAGATGCTACACTAAGAGATGCTACACTAAGAGCTGCAACACTAAGAGCTGCTACACTAAGATGTTACACTAAGAGCTGCAACACTAAGAGATGTTACACTAAGAGATGTTACACTAAGATATGTTACACTAAGAGCTGCAACACTAAGAGATGTTAAACTAAGAGATGTTACACTAAGAGATGTTACACTAAGAGATATTACACTAAGAGCTGTTACACTAAGAGATGTTACACTAAGAGCTGTTACACTAAGATATGCTACACTAAGAGATGTTACACTAAGATATGCTACACTGAGAGCTGCAACACTAAGATATGTTACACTAAGATATGCTACACTAAGAGCTGCAACACTAAGAGATGTTACACTAAGAGCTGCTACACTAAGAGTTGTTACACTAAGAGCTGCAACACTAAGAGATGTTACACTAAGAGATGCTACACTAAGACCTGCAACACTAAGAGATGTTACACTAAGAGCTGCAACACAAAGAGATGTTACACTAAGAGATGATACACTAAGAGATGTTACACTAAGAGCTGTTACACTAAGAGCTGCAATACTAAGAGCTGCAACACTAAGAGCTGCTACACTAAGAGATGTTACACTAAGATATGTTACACTAAGAGCTGCAACACTAAGAGATGTTAAACTAAGAGATGTTACACTAAGAGATGTTACACTAAGAGATGTTACACTAAGAGATGCTACACTAAGAGATGTTACACTAAGATATGCTACACTAAGAGCTGCAACACTAAGAGATGTTACACTAAGAGATGTTACACTAAGAGCTGCAACACTAAGAGCTGCAACACTAAGAGCTGCTACACTAAGAGATGTTAAACTAAGAGATGTTGCACTAAGAGCTGCTACACTAAGAGCTGCTACACTAAGATATGTTACACTAACAGCTACAACACTAAGAGATGCTACACTAAGAGATGCTACACTAAGAGATGCTACACTAAGAGATGCTACACTAAGAGATGTTACACTAACATATGCTACACTAAGAGCTGCAACTCTAAGAGCTGTTACACTAAGAGCTGCAACACTAAGATATGTTACACTAAGAGATGTTACACTAAGAGATGTTACACTAAGAGCTGTTACACTAAGATATGCTACACTAAGAGCTGTTACACTAAGAGCTGCTACACTAAGAGCTGCTACACTAAGAGATATTACACTAAGAGCTGTTACACTAAGAGCTGTTACACTAAGAGCTGTTACACTAAGAGATGTTACACTAAGAGCTGCAACACTAAGATATGTTACACTAAGAGCTGCTACACTAAGAGATGTTACACTAAAAGCTGCTACACTAAGAGATGTTACACTAAGAGATGCTACACTAAGACCTGCAACACTAAGAGATGTTACACTAAGAGCTGCAACACAAAGAGATGCTACACTAAGAGATGTTACACTAAGAGCTGTTACACTAAGAGCTGCAACACTAAGAGCTGCAACACTAAGAGCTGTTACACTAAGAGCTGCAACACTAAGAGCTGCAACACTAAGAGCTGCTACACTAAGAGCTGCTACACTAAGAGATGCTACACTAAGAGATGTTACACTAAGAGATGTTGCACTAAGAGCTGCTACACTAAGAGCTGCAACACTAAGAGCTGCTACACTAAGAGATGTTACACTAAGATATGTTACACTAACAGCTGCAACACTAAGAGATGCTACACTAAGAGATGCTACACTAAGAGATGTTACACTAAGAGCTGCTACACTAAGAGCTGCTACACTAAGATGTTACACTAAGAGATGTTACACTAAGATATGTTACACTAAGAGATGTTAAACTAAGAGATGTTACACTAAGAGATGTTACACTAAGAGATGTTACACTAAGAGCTGTTACACTAAGAGATGCTACACTAAGAGATGTTACACTAAGAGCTGTTACACTAAGAGAAGCTACACTAAGAGATGTTACACTAAGAGATTCTACACTAAGAGCTGCAACACTAAGAGATGTTACACTAAGAGATACTACACTAAGAGATACTACACTAAGAGCTGCAACACTAAGAGATGTTACACTAAGAGCTGCAACACAAAGAGATGTTAATATAAGATATGTTACACTAAGAGATGTTACACTAAGAGCTGTTACACTAAGATATGCTACACTAAGAGCTGTTACACTAAGAGCTGCTACACTAAGAGATATTACACTAAGAGCTGTTACACTAAGAGCTGTTACACTAAGAGCTGTTACACTAAGAGCTGTTACACTAAGAGCTGCAACACTAAGATATGTTACACTAAGAGCTGCTACACTAAGAGATGTTACACTAAGAGCTGCTACACTAAGAGATGCTACACTAAGAGATGTTACACTAGGTTATATTACACTAGGAGATGTTACACTAAGAGATGGTACACTAAGAGCAGCTACACTAAGTGCTGCTACACTAAGATATGTTACACTAAGAGATGTTAAACTAAGAGATGTTACACTAAGAGATGTTACACTAAGAGCTGCAACACTAAGAGCTGCTACACTAAGAGATGTTACACTAAGAGATGTTACACTAAGAGATGCTACACTAAGACCTGCAACACTAAGAGCTGTTACACTAAGAGCTGCAACACTAAGAGATGTTACACTAAGAGATATTACACTAAGAGCTGCAACACTAAGAGATGTTACACTAAGAGCTGCTACTCTAAGAGCTGCAACACTAAGAGATGTTGCACTAAGAGCTGCAACACTAAGAGATGTTACACTAAGAGATGTTACACTAAGAGATGTTACACTAAGAGCTGCTACACTAAGAGCTGCTACACTAAGAGAAGTTACACTAAGAGAAGTTACACTAAGAGATGTTACACTAAGATATGTTACACTAACAGCTGCAACACTAAGAGATGCTACACTAAGAGATGCTACACTAAGAGATGTTACACTAAGAGATGCTACACTAAGAGATGTTACACTAAGAGATGTTACACTAAGAGATGCTACACTAAGAGCTGCAACACTAAGAGATGTTACACTAAGAGATGTTACACTAAGAGCTGCTACACTAAGAGCTGCAACACTAAGAGCTGCTACACTAAGATGTTACACTAAGAGCTGCAACACTAAGAGATGTTACACTAAGAGATGTTACACTAAGAGCTGCAACACTAAGATATGTTACACTAAGAGCTGCTACACTATGATATGTTACACCAAGAGCTGTTACACTAAGAGCTGCAACACTAAGAGCTGCAACACTAAGAGCTGCAACACTAAGAGATGTTACACTAAGAGCTGCAACACTAAGAGATGCAACACTAAGAGCTGTTACACTAAGAGCTGCTACACTAAGAGATATTACACTAAGAGCTGTTACACTAAGAGCTGTTACACTAAGAGCTGTTACACTAAGAGCTGTTACACTAAGAGATGTTACACTAAGAGCTGCAACACTAAGATATGTTACACTAAGAGCTGCTACACTAAGAGATGTTACACTAAGAGCTGCTACACTAAGAGATGCTACACTAAGAGATGTTACACTAGGTTATATTACACTAGGAGATGTTACACTAAGAGATGGTACACTAAGAGCAGCTACACTAAGAGCTGCTACACTAAGATATGTTACACTAAGAGATGTTAAACTAAGAGATGTTACACTAAGAGATGTTACACTAAGAGCTGCAACACTAAGAGCTGCTACACTAAGAGATGTTACACTAAGAGATGTTACACTAAGAGATGCTACACTAAGACCTGCAACACTAAGAGCTGTTACACTAAGAGCTGCAACACTAAGAGATGTTACACTAAGAGATATTACACTAAGAGCTGCAACACTAAGAGATGTTACACTAAGAGCTGCTACTCTAAGAGCTGCAACACTAAGAGATGTTGCACTAAGAGCTGCAACACTAAGAGATGTTACACTAAGAGATGTTACACTAAGAGATGTTACACTAAGAGATGTTACACTAAGAGCTGCTACACTAAGAGCTGCTACACTAAGAGAAGTTACACTAAGAGCTGCTACACTAAGAGATGTTACACTAAGATATGTTACACTAACAGCTGCAACACTAAGAGATGCTACACTAAGAGATGCTACACTAAGAGATGTTACACTAAGAGATGCTATACTAAGAGATGTTACACTAAGAGATGTTACACTAAGAGATGCTACACTAAGAGCTGCAACACTAAGAGATGTTACACTAAGAGATGTTACACTAAGAGCTGCTACACTAAGAGCTGCAACACTAAGAGCTGCTACACTAAGATGTTACACTAAGAGCTGCAACACTAAGAGATGTTACACTAAGAGATGTTACACTAAGAGCTGCAACACTAAGATATGTTACACTAAGAGCTGCTACACTATGAGATGTTACACCAAGAGCTGTTACACTAAGAGCTGCAACACTAAGAGCTGCAACACTAAGAGCTGCAACACTAAGAGATGTTACACTAAGAGCTGCAACACTAAGAGATGCAACACTAAGAGATGCTAAACTAAGAGATGTTACACTAAGAGCTGCAACACTAAGAGATGTTACACTAAGAACTGTTACACTAAGAGATGTTACACTAAGAGATGTTACACTAAGAAATGTTACACTAAGAGATGTTACACTAAGAGCTGCAACACTAAGAGATGTTACACTAAGAACTGTTACACTAAGAGATGTTACACTAAGAGATGTTACACTAAGAAATGTTACACTAAGAGATGTTACACTAAGAGCTGCAACACTAAGAGATGTTAAACTAAGTGTATAAATGTATAAATGAGCAGGCTGAGTTACAGTTGTATCCTTGTGGCAGAGCAGGACACGCACGCACTCACACACAAACACTCTCTCTCTTTTTGTCTCTCTCTCTCTCTGACTGATAAAACAGACACATTATAATTCCTTGTTAACAATACTCCTCCTTCTCTCTCCGACTGCTAAGAGACCTCGGTCTCCCTAAAACAAGCCCTAGTCAGAGAGGGTTTCACAGAGAAAGCCCTGGCATAAAAGAGCCATAGTAATGCTTCATGCAAATTCAGCCCCTCACACAAAAAAAATAAGACACAAACTTGAACAGTCTGGGGTCTGTGTCCCAAACGGTACCCTATCGTCGTTATAGTGCTTTACTTTCGATCAGAGCCCTAGGCCACTATAAAGGGAATAGGGTGCCTTTTGGGACAAATCTGTCTCTGTATTCATTCAGGACTCCTGAATCCAGGGATAGAAGGGGGTACAGTGTGCATTGCTAGAGCTACAGCCTCCCTGAGCTACCAGAAAGCATTTAATCCACTCACAATACATCATCCAAATCTCTTTACAGCATAGCATTGTATTTACACTGAACCGCTAGGAACGGAGAGTGGTTGGTTGAGTCTTACATCTCTTCTCCTCCGGGGAAGTGGTGTGATAGTGAGAGAATGGGGCTTTGTTTGTTACCAGAACATTCTCTAAATCAAGTCCATATGGCACCCTATTCCCTATATAGTGCACAACTAGCCTATGGGCCCTAGCCAAAAGTAGTGCACTATATAGGGTATAGGGTGCCATTTCAGATCCAAACTGTGTTGTCTGTCTGATGCGCGTAATCCTTATTATCATCGCTGACTGAATGTAAACATTGACTGTCATGAGAAGTAGAGAGTAATGTATCTATCTGATTTCAGAGTAAGACTCAATCCATTTAATATGGCACCAACTCTGTCATTCTAATGAGAGAAGGCTAACACATTATTCATGTTAATTTCTCTAGCAACGTGTTGATCATCATGAACAGAGAGGAGACCGTCAGTAATCATCGTTTCTTTCTCTACCTAAACGGACATTATTTAAGGTCTAAATGATGACAACTTGCTGAGGGCAGATATTAAGAGGAGAGGAGTGGAGAGAGGGAGGAGGTGGAGGAGAATATGGGGAGGTGGGGAGGAGAGGAGAGGAGAGGAGTGGAGAGAGGGAGGAGGTGGAGGAGAATATGGGGAGGTGGGGAGGGAGAGGAGAGGAGAGGAGGGGAGAGGAGAGGGAGGAGGTGGAGAGATATGGGCAGGTGGGGATGGAGAGGAGGAGGAGGAGAGGGAGGGGAGAGAGGGAGGAGGTGGAGGAGATAGGGGAGGGTGGGGAGGAGAGGAGAGGAGAGGAGTGGAGAGAGGGAGGAGGAGGAGGAGAGAGAGGGGGAGGTGGGGAGGAGAGAGGAGAGGAGGAGGAGAGGAGTGGGAGAGGGTGGGGTGGGGAGGAATGGGGAGGGGAGGGAGCGATAAGAGGGAGGAGAGGGTGGGGGAGGAGAGGAGAGGGGGGACGTAGAGGAAAGTTGGGGGAGGAGAGGAGAGGGATGACGACCTGGGCAAGCGGAGTAGAGCTGAGAGGAGAGATGGCGAAAGAAGAGAAAGAAGAGAAGATGAAGTGAGAGCAGACGGCAGAGGACGAGACGAGAGGGAGAGAGAGATGGTGGAGAGAGGAGAAGAGAGAGAGTGAGAAGAGATGTGCGAGAGGGAGAGAGGAGAGAGAGAGGAGAAGAGGAGAGGAGTGGAGGAGGGAGGGTGGGGAGGGGGAGAGAGGGAGGGAGAGGAGAGGGGAGGAGAGAGAGAGGGAGGAGGGCGAGGGGAGAGGAGAGGGAGGAGAGGAGAGGAGAGTGGAGTAGGGAGACGGAGAGAGGAGCAGAAGGAGAGAGATTGAGGAGAGGGAGTCACAGGTGAGTGGTAAGGGTGTAGACTGAACAGCATGGAAATCTAAAGGCCGTACAGTGAGTATAGGCTGAACCCATGGCCAAGCAGTGACAGAATACAACAAGGCTAAACAGGTAACACATGCATTTATAAAAACATTTAAAAACAGCAAAAACATGTGTGTGCTTGCACATGGCATACATATTACATTTTAGTAATTTAGCAGACGCTCTTATCCAGAGCGACTTACAGTTAGTGAGTGCATACATTATTATTATTATTATTTTCTTTATTTTTTTTATACTGGCCCCCCGTGGGAATCGAACCCACAACCCTGGCGTTGCAAACGCCATGCTCTACCAACAGAGCTACATCCCTGCCAGCCATTCCCTCCCCTACTCTGGACGACGCTGGGCCAATTGTGCGCCGCCCCATGGGTCTCCCGGTCGCGGCCGGCTACGACAGAGCCTGGATTCGAACCAGGATCTCTAGTGGCACAGCATACACAGAGAAGGATGAGCCACCTACCCTTAAGTAACTCCAATTGATAACCTCCCAAAACCCAGCAGCATGTCACCACATAATGAAACAACAATCAAACAGAATCAGGAGCCTATTGCACATCCGGTGATGCAGGAATCCCATTTGAACTTCTCAGGGGGGGGGGGGGAGGGTACTCTGTCTGCTCACTGTGATTGATGGAGTGAGTGACAGAGACCAGATGTAGCGTGTCAGTGAGGCGGTGCGGTAGTGTGGTGCCTCCGGTACCTACCTGATATGTGTTGTCAAAGCTGTCATACATGAACCTCGTGATCAGAGACGTCTTGCCAACTACAAGAGCACAAAGAGAGAGAGAGAGAGAGAGAGAGAGAGAGAGACGAGGTGTTAGCTTCTGTAAAAGAGAGAGAGAGAGAGAAAGAAAGAGAGAAAGAATAGGGCGCCATTATAGGGAATAGGGCCCCATTATAGGAATAGGGCGCCATTATAGGGAATAGGGCACCATTATAGGGAATAGGGCGCCATTATAGGGAATAGGGCACCATTATAGGGAATAGGGCCCCATTATAGGGAATAGGGCGCCATTATAGGGAATAGGGCGCCATTATAGGGAATAGGGCGCCATTATAGGGAATAGGGCGCCATTATAGGGAATAGGGCACCATTATAGGGAATAGGGCCCCATTATAGGGAATAGGGCACCATTATAGGGAATAGGGCCCCATTATAGGGAATAGGGCGCCATTATAGGGAATAGGGCGCCATTATAGGGAATAGGGCCCCATTATAGGGAATAGGGCGCCATTATAGGGAATAGGGCGCCATTATAGGGAATAGGGCGCCATTATAGGGAATAGGGCGCCATTATAGGGAATAGGGCACCATTATAGGGAATAGGGCCCCATTATAGGGAATAGGGCACCATTATAGGAAATAGGGCCCCATTATAGGGAATAGGGCCGTTAACATGTTACACATGGGAAGAGAAGATGAGACGCTTAGAAATTGTCAATTATAAGTCCTAAAGAGCTTGAGGGCTTTTTAATTTCATATAATTATCTTATTTTAGCATTTCCCACAATAAAGTATTTTGTATATGTTGGCAATATAAACATGTTCAAGAGCTATTAGAAACCACTCCTTCCTCTGGAATGGTTTTGCCTGAAGTGTCAAAGGCTGTTCTCTGCAGCCGTCTAAACAAGCTGCTCTCCAAATTCTCCAAGGGTCCCGCTCAGTACTAAAAGGTCATCAGTGGTCCAGGGTACTCGAGGAAATAACACATCCTCGAAAGTGTTCTGCCCGTGCAAACATACACACACACACACACACACACACACACACACACACACACACACACAGACACACAGACACACAGACACACACACACACAGACAGGGACCGACTGACGCGGCTGGCAAACATACACCCTCGGGGACTTTGGCAGCAGCTCGGACGTAAACAGAGAGGAAAAAGCCTGGTTTTGCTCCAGTTGAGGAGGCCTGTATGACGAGGAGAAGCCCTTGTCCACAAGTCATTTAAATGCTAATTTCCCCCAAAAGACACAAGACCGTTTGATTCTAGAGCGAAAGGGGATTTAAATGCATAGGGTTCATAAGGCCTGGTAGAAAGCTTCTGTATGAATACAGAGTATTCCCTATTCCCTTACAGAGATCCCCATTGGCTCTTGTCACACAGTGCTTTCAGGAAGTATTCACACTCCTTGACTTTTTCCACATATTGTTGTGTTACAGCCTGGATTTAAAATGAATTAAATCGAGAAGAAGAAAAACATGTCGCTGGCCTACACACAACACCCTATAATGTCAAAGTGGATTATTTTATTTCATTTTTTTAAATAATAATAATTATTATTAAAAATGAAAAGCTGAAATATCTTGAGTCCATAAGTATTCAACCCCTTTGTTATGGCAAGCTTAAATCAGGAATTAAAATGTGCTTAACAAGTCACATAATAAGTTGAAATAATCGTGTTTAACATGATTTTTGAATGACTACCTCATCTCTGTACCCCACACATACAATTATCAGTAAGGTCACCCCAGTCGAGCAGTGAATTTCAAACCGTTAATATAGAGCCATTAATATAGAGCCGTTAATATAGAGCTGTTACTATAGAGCTGTTAATATAGAGCTGTTAATATAGAGCTGTTACTATAGAGCTGTTACTATAGAGCTGTTAATATAGAGCCGTTAATATAGAGCCGTTACTATAGAGCTGTTAATATAGAGCTGTTAATATAGAGCTGTTACTATAGAGCTGTTAATATAGAGCTGTTACTATAGAGCCGTTACTATAGAGCCGTTAATATAGAGCCGTTAATATAG